AGTTCAGTTCAGTTCAGTTCAGTGTGTTTTATTGTCTCCCAAGGAAAGAAATTTGATTTAGTGGTTCATTACATATTTTGCTTTTGTGTGCTTTTGTGTGTTTTCACTGCTGGTTTTCCACCACAGCACAGCAACATGCAGGTTAATTGGAGGTTTTATATAAACCTCAGGTGTGAATGTGGTCATGTAAGGTTGTGTGTCTCTGTGCTGACTCTGTAAGTAACTGGTGACCTATCGGGATGCATCACATCTTAAACAAACTGATTGTTGGGAAAGGCCTTGAACAGGAGTAATCAGTTACAAAGGAACATGTGAGTGAGATTAAATCTATCATTTCAGAAGGTCTTTTGTTTTAAGCTTACCCAACACTGACAATGAATGACATCTGTCATAAGACTTCCTCATTTCTAACCCTTTAACACAGCTGAAACTTTCTCTCATGCTGGGAAAAAAATAGCCAAAAGGAATGAACTACACAACACGTCTTTGTTCTGTAAGCAAGTACACTGATGACGTCCTCTGAGGATGTTTGTCTTTGTCTTTGTACACGAAAATTTGAACAGAAAGCACCTAAAACTTAATGTCTGATGAAGCATCACAGCAAAATAAGAAAATGAGAAAATAAAAGCTGAAGATACATTTTTGCTTCGATACTTGTTTTTTGTACATTTGTTATCTTTCCCCCCACAAATGTCTCAATATAAAAATGTAACAAAATTAAGCATTATTGTAACTAAAACAGCAAGTAAATCAGCACTTTTATATCCTCATACCTGTAAAACCTCAGCCAGTTATAAAATATAAAACAGACAGGAATTATAAACAGACACACATTCATACATCATAAGGATCAGGTTAATTAACAAGAATAAAACCTTACAGCCTTAGATTGGTAAAGTTTTATTTAAGGACACAGGCTCACAGAAAATGATTTATAATAAAATAAATAAAAGATGCCAAAATAAAGCCCCAATTTTTTCTAAATTAATATTCATTTATTTCTAATTATTGTTATTATATTTCCTTTAATTGTCTTCAACCATGATAATGTATTTAATCCATATATGGCTTCTTCTCCTTACTAAAACTGTTCCAATTTCTTTCTTCTTTGCTCCACTTTATTTAACCATTGATTTTAGGAATGAATCAGAATCTCTTTAGTCACACAGTAACTCATCAGAAATAAAAATATGTTTAATATTAAATGTCAAAAAGAACAGTTCAGTCCCACTGATGTTATTTAAGGCCACTAAAGTAAAATGTGTTTGGGACGTTTCTAAGTAAAATAAACAAAATGTTGAGACATAAATTTGTGCTGCTGATCAAACTGATGATCAGGAAAAAGGAGGTGAAGCAAAAGAAACATTGTTCAGAGCCATCCTATAGTTTCATCTGACAACACCTTGTCCACCTCCAGTTTCACATAACAAATACTTCATTACGTCTCCAAACTTCTCGTAAATATCCATCAAAGCAATACTAGAATCTTATGTAATACTTTTTTCAAAAACATGGAGATTTTTAATTGACTTTAGGTGTGATTGTTGATCCTGTTGGTCTCTGTTGGATAATGACCTGTTCAGGTTGTGCCTGTCAGGATANGGAAGCAAGGGTTAGGTAAATTGTGGAAGGAATTTCCATGCTATGAACATCACAGTGATGCAATTTGATCCTGTGATGCTGGTTAGTTGAGTTTCTAAATAACCTCCTCTCGTCTATTTAACAGAGTCTTATTTGTGGTAAACCTGCATCCTTCCTTCAAAGCAACTCGACACTTCAGACACTTTGTCGTRGTTTGAGGATCCTGACCAAGTAAGTTTGTTTTTTACATCTATTTTCTGGCACAGTTAAACAACCGATATATGTGAGACTCAAAACTATTTTATAGGTGAATATTAAACTTACAWGTTTATAGTAGTTACTGTATTTTAAACAAAACTTTGTATGAGGCTTAGAGAGAATATATTTATTCATTCTCAATTTACACGTGCATATTACATAATGTTCTGGAAAAGAAAGAAAATAAGGAAAAAATGAAAACATTGTTTTTGTGGTCTAACACTTAATATCATTCAGTCATTTGACTAGTTGAATAAATTTCACTGAAAATAATGTCTTGAACAATTGAGGTTGACTTCAAATTTGTTAAAGTTAGTAGCTGCTCATTTTAAAGGCTGGATTTATTATCGATAACTTTCCCAAATTTGCACCTTTTTTTTTCATTTGTTTCAAGCTGAATTGTTAAATCACAAACCATATTTTTTTACTTTCAATCAGCCAACTTGCTGGATTTAACATCATTTGAGGGAAATTCCTCTTGCTAATCAGTGTGGAACTGTTCATCAAAACGTGTTCTTTAAACTMAAGATTTAATAAAACTCTTATTTATGTTTTCTTTTATATATACAGTGTAAAACTCTGGTGTTTTAAAATGTTATGAAAGGCTTGGTAAAATAAGATTAAAACAGATTTTTAACACAAACTTTACAGTTCTGTGACATTATAGCTGAAACATGAAAATGCTATAGACATAAATGATTTTTACACAAATTGAGTGATTTTTATTTTCTTTCTAAGGTATTCCATCAGAACAGTAGTTTGTCTACCAAAGCATCATGGCAGCTTCACAGGAGTTTCCTGCCAGTTTCTATGGAGAACCTGGAGTGTTAGGCATGTTATCAAATGGGATCAGTGCATTCCTCGTTCTTCTACTTAACTTCAACACAGCTCGTACTGGCAGCCAGCCAGTTGGGGTGGAAAATATACTAGCAGGTAAAACATGAAATAAATGATCAAGACACATACATGCAAAGTGTTGAATAACAAGACTTACAGCAGTTTGCAACACTTCTTGCAGGTGTTCATCTCATCCTGATTGGTGGGATATGCCAGCTGGTGGCTGGATTGCTWTCCTTTCGAAAGTACGATCACCTGAGTGGCACAGCCTTCATTGGCTATGCTGCTCTTTGGGGTAGTTACGGTGCGACAAGAATCTACTTTGGTGCCTTATTTAACAATCAAGCTTTAACATCAGTGTCAGGACCGATAAATAGTTCAGTCAATTTGATAGGCAACATGTCTGTCAATAACTCATCACAGTGCACGTTATGCCTGTCCATAGCTGAGTCAGCAATCGCTGGCCTGGTCCCTTATATCCTCCTGTCATTTCTACTTGCGTTTTGCTCGGCCACAGTCAACTACATCATGCCTTTTGTTTTTGGAGCCATCACAGRCACTTTAATTTTTGAAGCAGTAGCTCTGGTGGCACYCTCCTGGGCTCTGGTGGTCTCTGGGGTTCTGGAGTTGCTAATTTTGCTCTTTGCCATCTATGGTTCAGCTGCTCTGCTCATCAAAGGTCTGACTCAGCGTCATGTCCTTAAAGGCTTTGGGACTCCGCTCTTTAATGTCCTCCTGCTTGGGACTGCCAACGCAGGAAAAGCCCAGAGCGTTGGCCAAGAGAAGAAGAAGAACACAAAATATGCCGAGCCCATGGCCTTAGGTTTCTTCTGTGACTCCATTGCTCCTTTCATCTTTGCTTTCTACAGCTTTGGGTACATGAAATCCTTTGGTTTAGGAGTTACTTGGGTATCAATCATCTCAGTTGCCCAGTTGTTCTCCAGCTACTACGCCCACTTGCGCCAAGATTGCTACCACACTACAAAGTTTGGATTTCATGCCACGTATTGGCTGATCAAAGCTTGGGATGAYRTTGTGGCATCTGCTCTGATAGTGYAGCATGATCTGGTTGWTTCTGGAAGGAAAGAAATGGTGGGTGATTGGTTCTTTGTGGTGGCAGGCTTAGTGCTGTTTATAGGAAGCCTGAACATGGACGTCCTGGAAGTGATTCACAACTTMCTGTTCATCCTTCTCACAGTTTCAACAATTCCCCAGATCCCCCTGCAAGGTTACTACATATTTTTTGGTGTAGCCTGTTCTCTCTTCACTGCAGTCTCTGTTTACGGCACCTTCTCACGTCTCATTAACACCATAGCAGAAAAAGTCCTCATACCTGTAGGACCTCAGCCAGTTTCCTCTGAGCAGATGAAGAATGCACTGAAGTGTGGAAGGTCTACACAGGAAGCACTGCCCCAAACTGACCAGACCTCAGATGCTCTGTTTTACCTTCTAAATGGGGTTGCAGCTCTTTCAGCTCTCCATTCAAGTGTGTCGAGTATGAATCCTTCCTTCCTTCATCTGACTGTTCCTTGGGTCCTGATCTCTGGAGCGATTGTCCAGGTCTACATCAGCAGGCTCCAAGTCACAGGAGGTGGCCGCTTTGGATCAGTCATCTCCTCCCTCTATGTGGTTGTGTGGGCCACTTGGACGTGGTTTCGGTTTGCAGGTATGGTACGCAGGAACAAATGAATGGATTGACATGTTCTTCTTTGATTTACACAGGGTTCTCACCCCAAGTTTGTATATTTTCTTTTATTCAAGGTGACCAGCTTCAGCTTCCTACTGAGGCAAATTATGGTTTTACAGCGGGAGCCATCGCTTTCTTGGTCATCAATGCCTTTCTCATGTTAATTGGTAAGATCAGCTGTTTTTGATTGAAATCTGTGTTTTGGTTAACTTTAGTTTAGTTATTTATGTTTTTTTTCAGCTGCTTATAGGAATCTGGTTCTACTCTTTCTAACCACAATCATGGAGATTGTTCTTGTTTGCTTCCTTCTCTCCACCCTGCATAGACTGCCATACCAACTTGAAAGTAAGTCAGTAACACCCAATGAAATGCTAATTGATGTCAACCCAGAACTACATGTTTATTAAACAGATTGTGACACCAGTTTTTATTTTATTTTATTTTATTTCATTTTATTTTATTTTTTATTTATTATTACTTTTTTTGCAGTGGCTATGCTTGCACTGGTTTCTATTATTTGTATGTATGGCATTCTGGCTTCACTGGTGAATGGCATTTTCTCACAGAGAGTGCTACCAATGGGTCCATCAATAATAAAGGTAATAAACAAGAGACTGAACATGTCCAAAATCCACACTTAAATGCCATTTAATGAAAATATTTCATTTAATTGTGTTCTGTTTTAGGAAAAGGTAAAGAAGGAAACGTCTGATGAACCTCTCTGTCCGGTTGCTAGCTCTCGTCTCACCAGTGGTCTCCGGAAGATCGCTCACCTTCTCGAGGTGGGGGGAGTATGTGGGATACCTACAGATACTGTTTATGCTCTGGCTGCTTCCTGCAAGAATCCCCAGGCGATAGAGAAAATCTACAACATTAAAGTAAGAAAGAGGAATAATTTTTCAGCCAATAATTTATGTAAATAAAATTTCATGCTTATTTTATATAACTTTATGTTTCGTCTAACCCACTCCAGGACAGACCAGCAGAGAAGCCTATATGCATTTGCATTTCCAGCGTGGAACAGCTGGTCGCAGCAAATCCTCCCTTCAGCCCTCTGCTGTGGGAGTTCATGAGGAATGTGTATCCTGGAGGCATCAGCTGCATCGTCAGCAAAGGAGACTGGCTCTTCCAGCTTGGTAAGTTTTTTTTATATATATTTTTTAAAGACTCCTGTTTAACTTCTAAAAATTGCCACATAAAAATTTGCAACACAAGACATGCAAAAGAGTTTTTAAAAATTCCTAATCATGACAAATGTATTCAAAAAAAAAGGAGCAAGTACATTGGCTACATATATAATTTATCCTTTATAAAAACATAAGTCATATAAAATCAGTTATATTTTATTTGTAAACAATTGTCCTCACTGTATTCACCTACTGTCCTGTGCAGGTGTAGGACCAGCTATTGATCGTGTCGGTACCAGAGACAGCATCATGATCCGTGTCCCTGACCACACGGTGACCTGTCACTTATGTGACATCACCGGACCTCTGGCGATCACATCGGCCAATCCCAGCGGAGAATCAGACAGCACCCACCACAGCATGGTCATCAAGTAAGATTCTGTTTTTCATGGAGGCAGGGATCATCTTGCTTTGGGTTTTAATAAAATCTTTACACACAGAATGATGTAGTAGCTTCTGCTAAGCACACTTTTTTAGTAAGTAAATTATCAGTTATCAGGTAAGTGGTTAAAATGATCCTTAGTTAGATCAGGCTTTGGGATCTGCTCTCAGGCCATTTAATGTAAGAAACTTTTTTTCTGGTTTGCAACTCAGACAAAACTCAAACTGTCTAAAATATGTTTATCTGCAGTCGTCTGGGCCACAAGATCCAAGGAGTTCTCTGTGATGGTGACTCAAATGAAAGTGTTGCTTCGACTGTGGTCAACTGCCTACGGATTGATGAAGGTAAAACTCAATACAGTACTCAAAATTATATGTTACTAGTAATGGTTTTAGCCCTCCTCATTTCTGCTGATAAAAAGTTAATTATTCTATCTCTATTCAAGGGACCATCACCATCGTCAGGGAAGGTTGTGTTCCTGCAGCAAAAGTGCACCAGATCTTTGACAGAGTGAAAAGCACTCTGCTGTGATTGTAACCTGCTTTTCTTTTTGGAAGGGGTCCAAACAAATCTTCAACTTGAATTATTTTAGTTTCTGGTTTTCCTCTGGGGAATGCTGAGCTGTTTACACTGAAACTTTGCTGTGCTCCACTTACAAGGTGTTCTTGTGATTGTTAATATTTGTACAAAAATATGTATAATAAATATAATAATGATGAATGAAACATTTTTATCTGGTTTGAATTGAATTTAATTTTATTTTGTTTTATTTTATTTTATTAGATATAAGTAATTCAGGTTTCAGGTCTGCTTCTGTTCCCTTGATGTTAATTAGGGCATCTATTTTTGTAACGAAACTCACCTGCATGATTTACAGCGCACTGAAGTTTTATTGTGAGTGAAACTGTCCCAAAAATGTTATGGTGTATTAAAAATTTGAAGTGTCTCTTTTTTCTATACAAAGACCAAATTTAAAATACCTGTACTGCTCTCAGCTGTTGCTTTGTAAATAAATAAATACATATTGGATTACACACACTTGTCTGCAATTTCTGTGACTTTGCAACATGAGTGAACTATTCTACCTTTTATTTATGATTCTCACAAAATAAATACAAATGTCCTTTTCTAATGGGAAATTACTTGCTGCCCTCCTTGTTAAAAGCTAAATACTGTTCTTTTTTTCTACATAATTAACCAACTAAATATGGTAAAGTAGAGAACAGTAGAAGAAGAAAGAAGAAGCCGTGCTCAATTTACCCTCGTCGGTTTAAAACTGCTTCAGAGTTCACAGAAAACATGAGTGTWACACAATAAGATAGCATCAAAAATAACTTTAGTGCTTGCTGCTTTCAATGAAAAAAAATTGACAAAAAAGTACAATGTGAAAATTGTCCATCTAACCAAGAATTTTTAATACATCCAGACAAATTATAATTACTTATCTTGTTTTAAAACTAATACATTAAGCAAGAGAACAA